TCTATTGTTAGAAACCTGTATCAAACGGACACTGCAAAATGAATGCATGATTTTTGTTGTCCACGTTTTAGTAGATCGGTCATTTACGTTTGCCAACAAACTGAGCTGCCACAGAAATGCAATATTTTGTTATGCGGTTTTGGTTTATCAAAACTTTTGTTCTTGTTTGATTTGTGAACCTTCACATGATTCGATCAATATAGATACTGTTACTGTATACTTAAATCGCTTTACCTTATGTGCTTGTCATTGTTTCTGGAATTAAGGTATTTCGGAGTTACCGATCATTCACGAGAATGCTATTTGTCCCTTTCAAGGTCTTTTAATACTGACCAATATTGATATGACCCTTTAAAGACGAATTCTGAGGGAACCTGTTTTCAGCGGACATCCTGAATTAAGCGGAGACTAGCAAGGGTCCCGAGGGTATCCGCCTAATACAGGTTTGACTGTACAACAAATGAAACAAGTGACCAATTTAAGAAACAAAATATACACGCCAACAGTTTAACGTCATGCTACAATGAGAGTAGTGACAGGAATAAAGATGAGATAGTAACTGGATGACATTTACGTGTTTAGAAAAGAGTGATGAAGCAATAACGATGAAGGCATTGAAGGCAGTGACTTGAATCAATAACCAATAACCACGATAACAGATCTCNTCATTTAAGTTTGCCAACAAACTGAGCTGTCACAGAAATGCAATATTTTGTTATGCGGTTTTGGTTTATCAAAACTTTTGTTCTTGTTTGATTTGTGAACCTTCACATGATTCGATCAATTTAGATACTGTTACTGTATACTTAAATCGCTTTACCTGATGTACTTGTCATCGTTTATGGAAATACGGTATTTCGGAGTTACCGATCATTCACGAGAATGCTATTTGTCCCTGTCAAGGTCTTTTAATACTGACCAATATTGATATGAACCTTTTAAGACGAATTCTGAGAGAACCTGTTTTCAGCGGACACCCTGAATTAAGCGGACACTAGCAAGGGTCCCGAGGGTGCCCGCCTAATACAGGATTGACTGTACAACGAATGAAACAAGTTACCAATTTAAGAAACAAAATATACACGCCAACAGTTTAATGTCATGTTACAATGAGAATAGTGACGGGAATAAAGATGAGATAGTAACTGGATGACATTTACGTGTTTAGAAAAGAGTGATAAAGCAATAACGATGAAGGCATTGAAGGCAGTGACTTGAATCAATAACCAATAACCACGATAACAGATCTCTCATTAATCAAATAGCGTCCTAATAGCTACAAATTTTGGAAAGACGCGCAGATAGGTCCGGTGTATTCGAACCCTGGCTGGGATCATGGTGCTGTGTTCTTGGGCATACTCTACTCCAACCGTGCCCCTCTCTACCAACCTCATTCCCAGGGAAAAGCCCTCGGAGCGCGGCTTGCCTCTCTACCTAAGAGAACAAATGGCATTTATACTCTTGGGAGCCG